ATCTTCCTACTATAAACATTCTACTTCTTACCAAAATCATTAATTCCCAAAATTCTAACTTGAAACTTTATTCAATTAGAAATAAAATCCTTCTTAATAACCTGCCAATAATGTTAAATTTAAATATTCACTACCCTCTACTTTATTTATCTCCAAATTGCTCTTATTATAACCAATATGAAAGCATCGAACATTTATTCCAATGCTCACTCTATACTTACAATCCACAAAACATTCTTATCAATGAAACCATCAACATCTTAAACTTTCTAAACTTCTCAGAAGCTATACCAAATACTATAATTCAAATTCTTAATTTACAAAATTATTCTCCAAACTCTACTATATATAATTTAATACTCTTACTTATTCAAGACACAATTACACTTGACCAATATAAACAACTTCAACTAATTTTAAAAAAACTAACTAACAACTTTTTTATCTTTTTATCTAACTCTCTACTCAACTGGTTCAACCTTATTATTTGGCAAACTCGTAATACTAAACAACATAAATGGGAATTAGCACAAGGAATTACTGCTCTTACCAAAAGGAAAAATAATGTCCGATTACCAATTATACAACCTTCTAACTCCAATAACAATATATTTACATTCAACACTAATATAGACCAATTTATTCTTAAAACTCTTTCTCAAAATTTCACTATATATACCTGCTTTTACTAAATTAAAATAATCTTAAGGGTTCCTTTTATCCTCTCCTGTAGTTAATGATTACAATAATAGATTTAACTAAAACAGAAAATTAAAGATTAATATCATACTAGATGTCATTATATATATAGCAACAATAGTGTAGTTTAGGAATATTTTATTTATACATTTATATCTAATTGATATACCCATGTATTACTATTTTTCCTACCTGATATTATATAAATAAAAATAAAAAAAAATATCTTCTTCTCAAATACTATGCATATGAATTACTTAATCAAAATTTTTTTAACTTGAAGAATTATAAAAATTAATTATTAATCCTTATATTATTTTTGAAAAAGAACTTACTGAAACACAATCAATTCTATGTAATTAAGAATTTACAAGTTTAATACAAAATATTAAACTTGAATTAGAAAAGACTCAAGAAAAATATTTAAAATAGATAGGCTATTAGATTCATTTATTTTTGATGATATGTCTTTTAGATGGAAGCAATGATTTTTTTTTTGTATAAAGTATTTATAATGTTTTCTTAAACTAATTATTAAATATTAAAATAACTAAAAAAGAACTTTTTTATATTAAACAATTAAAAAAAGATAAGTTAGAAAGAAATATTTTATCTTTTGGTTTATTTAATGTATTAAACAATTCTAAATTTTTAGAACAATTTTTTATCTTTTCAGTATTCAGTTTACATGAACTTTCTAACTTTTTTCTCTTATATGACTTTGTAAAATATAAAGTTTGATTAATAATAGTTTATCAACAACAATTAGAAAGAATGTTTAACAAATATGATATAAAAACTTATTCCAATATGGCTAATGAAATAAAAGAGGCAAGGCTTTTAGTCTCTAGTTCAAGTAAACTAGAAACAAGATTTGATTGTGAAGATTTAAAAACCATTTGAAAAAAAGCAAAGGAATAATATAACTAAAAAGGTAGAAGAAAAGTTTGATGAGAGTGTTGCTAAAGCTATTTTGCAAGAGCTATTAAAAAAAATAAAAATGTGTTAAAATAAATGCGTTAGAATAAATGCATTAAATCAAAAAAAAATTTTTCATGCCAAGAATATATCCAAGCACATCCAATTTTCACATTAAAAAATCCTAACTATCGAATTTGATCATACATGTTGCATTATGATGGTAGATCATTTGGTATGAAACATCCCATTTCAGGGTTCAATATTCAAGCTCCGCTTTTTATTAGTAAAAAAGATTGTGGCAGTTTATCCTGAGATTGGCTTATGTTGATAATTTGATCGATAAATTATAAATCCTTTTATTTATATAACAATATTCTAGTTCATTTTATCTTACCTAGTGATGTAATACCATTTACATTTAATTCGAGATTACAGATTAAAAATCTTATCATTATACAATAACTTATTATAACATTTATGTTAGGCAGATAATGATATATTCAAAAATCGATTCAAATTTATAATCGTACTGCAATTTAAAAATAGATACGTATGAGACTTACAGTATATTATCTAAGAAAAGATATATTTTTAGCTATATTATTCAAGTTACACGATAATTAAAAAAAAGGTTATAATAAAGTGATCAGAATGTGACTAGTAATTAAATATGTTGAGAATATTGCGAAAGCCGTTATCTTACAAAGATCCAAAATTGTTAGACCTGTATTAAATACCAGCTATGTATAAAGGGACCAAACTGACCCGAAAATAAAAACGAAATTCGGACAAATTTCATATTTTTAGATTATCAATGGAATTTCGTGAGTTTTTTAAATATAATTATAGATATATGCGAATCTAATCCACGGGACTTCACAAGATTTTATAATAATTCGAATCTATGGTAAGTGGACACATTTGTTTAAAAAATTAGAATACTATTCGAATATTGTTGTGGAGAGGACCAATAATAAAGCTTTCCCGGGCCTGGTCAATAGTGTATTTTTTTAATAGAAAGTGGTTTATCAAATAATTGAACATTTGAGTGCCGCCAAGAGAAAACCCGCAAATCTTATAAGATTTACGGGATTTCTCTTGGCGGCACTAATTTATGATTTGATATTCGAGCATTTTCTGTCTCTGTAGCGTGGCTCATAAACTGACTTAACGGGGTTGTATGATTAGCAAGAGCAACACTGGCTACGTAGATCCCTTGCTGTAAATCCCGGTGATTAATCAAATTGATTTGGTCGTGAATATCGAATCGATCAAAATAATTAATAGATTATGCTTGATTAATAAGATTAATTATGTAAATAATAAGATTAATTATGTAAATAATAAGATTTATATGTAAATAATAAGGTTAATTATGTAAATTAGACTATATAATGTTTTACACAAATAAGGGACAAGTCTCGATTTTGACACACAGATCCCATTTAAATAAACTAAAGTTATCTATAAAGTAATTTGCTACATCATATTTTTTTATTGAGTCTTAAGTACAACGATTTTGCTTACGCCTCTTGAATAGTCACGTGTATATAACATGCCGCAAAAAGTTTTTAAACCATAATCACATGTTTTAAAATGGGGAAAATATTTTTTTCACCATCACTATTTCTGTCTCATGATTTTCGAATTGAGCTTGAACCTAAACAAAACTACGTCAAAAATGTCAAAAATCCAATTTCCTTATATAGTCTGTCGAATAACTTGCATAGCTGACATAAAAAATATATTTTTTTTTTGTTTTGAAAAACTTCCTTTTAGTCATTCACACATATATGATATGCAAAAATATTTAATTTAACCTGTTATTTTCTAGTCGTTTAAAAAACGTTTATAATAATTTGTTGACAAACGGTTCATTAACCAGTTAGTGTTCACCAATTAGAACCACAATTTCATGAACGTTTAACACTTATTGCGTTTTTTTTTAAATTATTAGCAACACATGTTCGATGTATTAAAAATTCTGTTTCACAGATTGCCATTTTGATTTTTTTTACTTAAAGATTCTAAACCCTGATATAAACAATTTAATCTCTTTTAGTTTATATGGTCAAAGCAAATATCATGACGTAACGAGACCAAGACATAAGTTGATATACTTCTTACCAATACTAGCTAAAAAGCATTCATCGTGATAATTTTGCAGACACCTATACGTAAATGGAATTTAAAATTAACGATAATCGCATTATCATCTTATCATTCTTGATACATTAACTACACAAATTTAGCTTTAAAGGTGTCTTTATATTGCAATTTGTACAAAAATGGAAAAGGGGTTTGATAAAGGGATAATAAGGAACTCAAACTTGTAATTAAAAAAAAGTGATGGGGTACGTACTTGTGTATTGCACTTATTTGGATTTTAGTGTAACTGAAGGTTACTATAATAAATTATTCTATATTGTGTTCCATCATACAAAATATTGACGCCATGACGCCTGTTGGTCTGATGTACATGCTTATTAAGGGTTGCAGAATGACAAATCATCTATCATTATTCAAAAGCATTTTATTTTACAGGACGTTGGATAACAGCAGAAGATTTGAAGATAAGGTATACGTTGAATAATTATATTATATGAAATAAGTAAATATGAAATTATGATTAGATTAAAGAAAATTGAATGTCTTCTTTAAACTGAACATCTGGCTTTTCTGGAAAATGGTAATATTCTAAATAAGCACACGCGCACGCACGTACCACGAGCATAACAAGAAGCCACATACGTGTTAATTAATTTAATAATTTCGTGCAAAGTAGTATTTCCTAAAAAGATAATATACATGAAACGATGACTCTTCGGAGGGATTATTGAACGAACATATATTTCCTAGTACGTATGAATGGTTTTCCGATATTCAAATGCTAATCCTATCAGTATTCACTATACTACTTTTAATTAACCACGAATCTTTTTTTTTTTTTATTAGCATTAATTTAATGCTCTGCTGTTTATCGTTGCAGTATCAACTCGGAAAATTTTTGAATTACTGATAAGCGATATGAATTCCGATTTCTATATTTAAATTGGGTCCTTGATGCATTTCCACATGACAAAGTCCTTAAATGTAGATCATATATAAAAGCACGTTGCCCCAATTTTTGCTTTTCAAACATGTGCTTGTTGGGGTGTATTTGAAATTTTAGCGGGAAATCAACTCTGACAGAGTTGTACCATAGTAGCACGGCTGCGTTGGCATTGTTGTGTGACACTCTGACAATGAAAAATGTTTGGGGTGGCATATAAAAAACAAAGGATTTTTTTTTCTTCCATCTTGTTTCATCAAACCAATCTTATACTGTTACTATAGCAATCGTTTGCTCACCCGAGTGAATACCTCTTTCCTACAAGAGAATGCCTTTTCTTGACAAATATTTTCAGCAGCTTGTGGATCTTTTAGATGGCGAGGTTACTATAGATCAAATAAAAGTTGTCTGTGTTTTGGTCGGTGCATATCCGGCTGCCTTAGGTCTTCGCTTTATACGGAAACCAGAACTCCGACATTTATACAATATAGCTGCCTCCCTTTTCATCTTTTTGGGCGTCTTTGATTTATTAGACGCTGTTCGAATATTATGTGTAAACTCATTAGTAGTTTACCTCATAATGCTAAATATACGAAATCACTGGGGTCCTAAACTTAGTTTCATATTTCTCTTGCTCCATATGAGCCAGAGGTAAAAATTTTTTTTTTTTTTTCTTAACTAATTGAAGATACGCCTAAGCCAGGTTGTGTTAATATTGATCACCTGATTTTCGATCAATTTATATAACCGTCTGGTTTTAGTGTTCCCAAACTTGGTAAAGTTTCTGGGTTAAGCGGACAATCAATGTTACCAAAATTATCTCTCGTGTAACCTTATCAAATTTATCTATCATGTAGTCATATTTATCGCCAATTACTTGCGGTATCTGTCTCTGAATACGATGCAACAGGACCAGAAATGGTCATTGTCATCAAATTGTCTTCCCTTGCTTTTTGTATATTTGACGGGCAGAATCTAAATTTGAAGGAAGTGAAAGTAGATCAAGAATCTGAGGAGCAAGTACCAGAATCTGTTAGTATATTATTTCTTAATTTGACTTTTTTTCTTTTAATTAATTATTTATTGTTAGTTTGATTAACTCACATACAATCATTCTTTGAAGTCTCTTAACCCACGCCAAAAAACTTCCACCAACCGTATAATAGATAGTTCCATAGATATCACCAAATATACTCCGAGACAGCTTAAAAAAGCTGTCCCGGTAAATAAATTCCCGTCGCTCCTCGAGTTTTTTGGGTTTATTTTTTATTTCCCGTCCGTTGTGGTTGGTCCTGCTGTTGAATTTGAAGATTACCGACAATGGGCAACCTCCTCGGGTGAATTTGAAAAGATGCCAGATGATTTCGGTTTCAAACAAGCTGTGTCCAAGCTTTGGTTTGGCTTCTTTATAATTGCTATGTCCTTCGCCTTTGGTAGCCGTTATCAAATAGCGTGGACCCTAACGGATGAGTATAAAAAACTTAACATTATTGACCGGTAAATATCATGTATTAAATTTTTCATCTTTAATTATACTAATTCTTGTTTACAACTTTATAGTATCTGGTTCGTCCAGATGGCTTGCTCTTGTGCCAGATTCCGCTTTTATATCGTCTGGCTTATGTCTGAAGGTTCTATGATCTTATCGGGCTTAGGATACAATGGAAGAGATGTAAAAGGAAATCCTAAATTGTATGTTCTTTTAACGAAAATACTTTTATTCTATAATGTTATAATATACTTATTTTTATATTTTATATTATATATAGTGATCGGGTCGTTAATATTGATGTCTTTGGTTATGAAACTTCTGATAATCCTCGAGCTCTAATACAATCTTGGAATTCTCAGACCGACAAATGGTTGAAAAATTATGTGTATCTGAGATTAAGTCCACCAGGAAAACGTCCAACATTCTATACAACTTTTACAACCTTTGCCATATGCGCAATATGGCACGGTTATTATCCTGGTTATTACTGTAAGTTTTTTACACTTTAATATCATACTTAATAAGTATTAATAATATTAATATAATATTAATGTGATAAATTTCTTTTTTTATATAGTTACATTTTTAAGTGCAGCGTGCATGGTTAGCTGTCACAGAAGTAAGTGTTTTCACTCATTTCTTATATCATGACAAACTCTTATTAAATTATACTGACTCTGGGGTTTTTTTTTTCCTTAAAAGCAATTCGAAGAAATGTTCGTCCAATATTCTTAATACAACCGTACTCAAATTTGAAATTTTGTTATGATATATTAGGTTGGCTTTTCAGTCAGGCAATTGTTAATTACATTTGCGTACCTTTTATTTTATTAAATGTTTGGGACTGTATAAACGTATGGAAATTGAATGCTTTTTACGGGCATGCTACTATGCTTTTGGTCTTTGTTATCTTTAATATTTTGGATGGGTCTAAGTTTTGTAAATGGTTAATCACATATGACAGTGATAGTAGTGATGATAAAGGTGTTCAAGATGATGAAATTGTTGTTGATGATGACAACAAATTGGATAAAAAAGTTCAATAGAAAAAAAAAAAAAATCAACGATGAAACAAATTTGGATATATTATTGGACTCTTGTTAACAAATATTTTTTTATTGTACAATTTTTTCAAATAATCATATTGTAATATAAGCAGGATAGTATATATTTATGTATTTTTTTTTTACATTTACTCGTTAATCTCAATCTGTTTTTTTTCTTTTTTTTTTTTGTATTATATCATTAATAATTATTATGTAATTACATATTAAACCCGATGAATAAAAGAAAATATTTGTCTAGGTGTCTAGGTAATTTTGTCAATGTCGCAAAAAATTTTATAAAATAAACTCGGTGCTAAAATTAAAGCGAATACGTATCATATTAGCTGATTTTTTGCAATTGTACTAAAATAGATGTAATTCAATTTTGAGTAATTTTAGATATACTAGCTCGTTTTTGATGATTTTTACTACCAAAATGTTTATCTTGATGAGATAATTTTAACAAACCCAAAATCATGAGATCATTGGGTTCCGCGTTTAACCAATGAAACCACATCATAAGTGCATCACTCCCGCAAAAAAAAACTGATCCAGTGATTTGAATCGTCTTATCGAGACGAACATTTTGGTGTGTAAAATCATCAAAAACCATCTAGTATATCTAAAGTTACTCAAAATTAAAAAAAAAACGTCAAATTACAAAAATCAGCCCATATGATAGGATTGTTAGTTATTTCAACTGGGCGTAACGATATGTAAGTTATTTTAACTGACAATGACGGTACGTACGTACATACGTACGTAAGTTAAGCATCAAATTATTAAACTACCATTACAACATCTGAAAATTTTTCGAATGGCGTTATCAATGCTAACCAAAAATTGCAATAAAACTGACCTGCTTTATCATCATAGATACCTTATTTCACAGACAATTAATTCACTGGTAAACTTATCTTGCTGACGATCGATTCACATATAATTTTATTTCTTAACCATTTAAGTGAATTAACTGTGTGAAATTTGTTGTCAAAATTGTAAATGTTTAAAAATCCGCGTTACCAAACTAAAATTTCGATGGATGACCAATCAGATTTCAAGATCAAGTGACGCAGAAAAAAAATCAAAACAATCCAAAAAATCGGTCATAACCCAACATTTTACCTTTTAAACTACTTTCTGCGTACGAACAAAAAGTTTTCATTAAGAAATTTTGGTACTACTAGAACTCTACCTAACCTAACTTAATAATAAAACTAACCCTAATCTAATAGCAAAATTTTTTTTTAGGTTGTTGAAACCAGAAACTGAACTGAACCGGATCCCAATTATTGTGCACATAAATGATTAACGAAAAACTCATTTCTACTAAATAACATTCTATAATGGTATGGTGTCTGGGCCCAATTATCTTTTGACCAAATTCTGATCCAGATATGACGGTTATTGGTATATAGCATTCATTATTGATTAGTATAATATAAATATAAATAAATTTATAATTTGATATTGAAAAAGAATTTTACTAACTATAACCAGTAGTGATTATCACCACCTTATTTTATAATATTTATTTATTTAAATCTTATTAACTATAACTAATCATATATATTTAAATATAACACAATGCATAAGAAGTCACATCCTATTGAGAGTATAGTAACACACACTTCTGGCCAGAATTATGTTAATGCTGGCCGAATTATATTAATGTTGGTCGGGTTTTAGTTTGTTATTTATAAATTACTAGTTAATAAACCCGGGGTCTCTTACATTCCACCAATTTTGACTCTGCTATACAATACAAAGGTTTATTTCAAAGAGTTGTTTATATGTCAACTTATAGTAGTTATGCAATTCTTGAATATGTGCTAGGTTTGTGTCACAGTTAAAATTCTTTAAATTAAGGTTAAGGATTTTATTAAGGTTAGATATTAGGATGGTATATAAGAAAATTGCCCAAGAAAAACCTTTGTTAATGCATGAAGAGTAGATTTATTGCTTTCGGATTTTTTAGTTTATATTATATTACATTTGATTACTGATTTGTAGTGCAATACAAACCTAATACATAATTCAAGAATAACTATTGAAATGTAAAATTAACTTTATTTTTCTAATAACAAACTTGAGAATTATACCAATTTCTGATTCTAACACTAGTATAAAAAAAAATTTACTTAAAAACAGTTAATTTATATAAAACCTGCCTTAATTCAAAAAACTCTAATAAAAGCTCATCCTAACTCTAACTACTAAAAGAAAAATATTAATAAAAGTTACATATTTTATAAAACTTGTCTTAATCCAAGAAATGTAATAAAAGCATTCTAATTCTAACTACCAAAAAGAAAACACTTGTAAAGTTACTTACTTTAATCTTAAAGAAAACATTTAAAATAACTAATATACAATCTAAATTTGTATTACCACTATATAGAAAAAAAATAAAATAAGTACTATATACTTCCGGAATTAAGCACCCTTTTTTTATTATAGAGGTACTTAATTTCAGATGATCTTAAAACTTCAAAATTTGATAGAGCAGGCATGCAGATCTGTGTAACAATACTATATAATAATGACATTTTTGATCCGTAATAATAAAATATAATATTAATATATCAAAAAAAAAACTTTCTATAAGAAAAATAAAATAAACGTGATAATGCATAGTGTAACTACTTTTAACTATTTTAAAGTAAAATTTATATAAAATTGGTTAGTACAATATTGAAAAAAAATGAACGAGATCAAACTAAGCTGTGTCTCATATTCTATTGAACAAAAGAACAAAGTTATTAAGTATGCTAGAAAGTATGGAAGAAATAAAACAGTAGTTCATTTTAACCTTGATGCTAGCATGGTTGGTCATTGGGTTAAGGCAAATACAAGTTGGAGTACTGAGATAAATCAAAATAATAAGTGTATTGGTTCTGGTCAAAAAGCATTCTATTCTGAAGCTAAAAAAAAATTATATGCTTGGTTAATAGAACAAAGAAAACAGGGACTAGCAGTTACTTATGCAATGTTACAGGTTAAAATATTAGAATTTTTAAAAGAACCTGAAATGATAGACTTATATGATTCATCAAAGGATTTTAAGACATCAAATCATTGGTTATCTGCATTTATAAAAAGATATAAATTATCTTGGAGATGGTACACAAAAATTTCACAAAAACTTCTTGAACAAACACAAGAATCATTAAATAATTTTTATAAGTTTGTTACTGAGCTTAGAATTAAGAAGTCTTATAAGCTATACAATATTTTTAACATGGATGAGACATCTGTTTGGTTTAATATGGCAGGAAACTTTACAGTTGATCAAAAAGGAACAAAAACAGTTCACATTCACAGTACTGGTAATGAAAATAACAGGTTTACCATTGTACTAACTTGCACTCAAGTAAAGTTTATTTTAGCTAAATATAGTATATAAATTAGCCTTTAAGCTTGATTTGATTTAATTAGTCATACATATACTATATATATACCAGTATTTTTTTTTTACCAAATTTTGTTATTAATAGATAGATTTAAGTTTTCACCAATTTGCATATTTAAAGAGAAAAGATTATCAAGTGTGGAAAAAAACAAATTCTTCCTAATGTATTTGTTTGGTTTTAAGATAATGGATGGATAAATACTGATTTAATAAAAAAATATGTTGATTATATTAAAGACATAAAGGTTAATAGATCTGGGGCTCCAATGATGATAGTTTATAATTCCTTTAAAGGACATCTAGAAGATTCAGTTAAAAAAAAGTTTCAAGACAATGGGATTGATTTAGCAGTAATTCCAGCTGGTTTAATTAGTATGTGTCAACCATTAAACATTGCTATCAATAAACCATTTAAGGACAACCTATATAAGGAATGGCATCTCTGGATGTCCCATGGTGGTGCCGGTGAAACAGCTAAAGAAAATCTTTGCCATGCTAAGTTTAATGATGTATGTTGGTGGGTTAAATGTTCTTGGGAAGAAATCCCTAATGATGTTATTGTTGAATCTTTTAAAATCTGTGGAATTTCAAATACTTTAGTTAATCATAATGATTCTGATAAGGAAAACAACTATGAGAAATTAAAAATTATTGACTTGACAATGATATAATTTTAAAATTTCTTTTAAC